AATCCCTTTGTACATATACCTTAAGAATAATAAAAAAAATAGTAAACATTTGAACAAAAGGTTCCCGTAGAGTACTACGGAAGTTTAGGATGCTAATACCTTCCCTAATCTTAACCAACCCCCGAACCCTAGATCTTTCCCCGCATTGTGTTTACGATGCAAAATAGGTTTTCCCTTTTTGACCTTTTCCTTCAGATAAATCAAAGAGCGGTTGCGAATTGAATTGCGATTCAACTCATTAATAGTTTGTGATCCTATTTCCACCGCAACATCTTCCATCCTTTTTGTTGAGTATCACCATTCCTTTATTTTCAGCCCCAATTAGTTGAGAAATGTTTTCTTGGGTAATGGTGATATTCAATCCCATTACAGCAGATCTAATTTCCACACACTTGAACTCCTTCAAACCCATTTTTGCTCTAGATTTTCCTTTTAACCTTTTGTCCCTTTCAACAATCATTCTTTCTTCATCTTGTGCAGAGAACTCATATATACTTATGCTCTAACCCATAAATCTTTCACCAGAGTTAGGTAAGTAGGTCCATTCAGCATATCAAAGAATTTCATCCATCCTTGGAACTCAAAATGACTTTCTAGTTGACAACCATTTGCAAAAAAACTCTCGAAATCCACCACTTGCTCAATGAGAAGTTTTAGTTCATCTTGATTGAGCGATATAGTTTTTGGTTTGATCAAAAGTCCTTGCATTAAATTCATATATATGCGAAAGGTTGTCGAGGTTGTCGTTGATGGGGTTTTAGGGTTTACAAGTAAAACAAGAAATATACAATGATAAAGGATGTGTGTGTGTGTGTGTGTGTTGAGAAGGTGTTGAGAAAATTAAATGACATTAAAGAGACTTAAACATAAAATTATTTAAAACAAATTCATTCCCCTTCAAATTCAAAACAAAAATAATTCCAAGTGTGCTGAAAACATTTCAGACAGATGTAAAAAGTGGTATGGTGTCAAGAAGATTTTCCACTTTTGTGTATGTGAGAAGAAAATATTCCTTTATGCAAGAATAATTAGAGATTTTTCAGAGTCTATCTTTGATCAAGAATTTTTTACCCAAACTTTGATTGAGACATCATCTAACTAATATCTAATTCAGATTCTTCATTCAGAATTAAACATAAATTACTACGTTCAGAATTCTTTATTGACTATTTAACTCATAGCAGAATTATAAGTTAAAAATTTCAATTGTTAGTTCAATGAAGAACATAAAATATACTATTTTCTTCTGAACAGTAGTAAGAAGGCTTTCTTCAAAGAATGTTTTGAAAGGTTTCTTTGTTTTAACATGACACAAATATTACCATAATCGGTGAAAATACCAGTTTCACAAGTCTGAAAGTTCTTTGGCTAATATCCTCCAAAGCGATTGAGTGAAAAATTATTCACATCAAAATAATTTGTTGAGAATATTAAGCTTGAAAATAATAGACAATAGAACTTACCTGGATTAATTTTTTGATTCTGAATCTTCCAGCTTGTTTTGATGAAGTTTTTCTGATTCGTTCTGAAACCACCATTTTGAACTATCTTCTCATACTTATAACATCTTTGATAGAGAGACTAGTTGCATTAATATGTGTCTTTATCTTAAAATCCCTTCTCTTTATTATGAAGATGGAAAAAATATTTTCATCACAAGATCTTTGTATGTACCACTGCAAAGTGTTTTGCATAGACCAAACTCTGATGCCAACTAAAGGTGAGGAAAATACACAAGAATGGAGGGTTGAATTGTATTCTTCAATTTCTTTGTACATCTAAATAGAGTTCATATTGATAATAGATGTAACAAATAACAATAGAAGTGAATTAACAAATAAAGAACACAATAGAATTATCCTGGCTCCTCCAAAACAAAGTAATCCAGTCCATTTGCAATGCAAGAGATTTCCACTATAATCAAACATGGTTACAACTACTTATACACTTAATTATAAGACTTTACATTGCTCAGACCTTTAGCCCAAAACTTCCTGCTTAAACCCCTCAGGTCCAAGACTTCCTTGCTTAAGTTCCACGAACTCAAGACTTCCTTGCTCAGGTTCCACGAACCGAAGACTTCTGCTCAAGCCCAAGACTTATATACTTTCCCTTTTGATTGCCCCTTGTTAAAGACTTCATTTGAATTTTCAGCAGCTTACATAGCAGTTGTAGAAGACTAGTTATTGGAAGAGATAACTTGAACAAGTATATTTGTTTTTCCATAGTATAAGAGACGTTGAGCAGAGATACACCAAAAGATCTTAATCTATTGTGTAACATGTTTCACCATTGCGTCTTCCATGTAATCTTGTACTATAGATTTGTTGAGAGTAGATATCCGTAAAGTATGTCAACTCTTTTTGAGCCTTGTGAATATAGACTCTAGCTGACAAGCTGATTTGATGATGCAGCTTGCTTTCAGCAATACGAATAACTCAAGCTTTATTACTAACTCTGGAAGTTCACCAGAAGCTGATATATTAGCTTAGTATAGAGACAATATGTTGCTCTTATGATGTTGAGGTCTTCAGCTTCAAAGTCTACGTCAGACATCACTTATAGAGTGTTCTTCAGGTTCTGATCAACCAGAAGCTAGTAACTCAGCTCCTCTGAAATGCGTCCTTATATCATATTCAGAATGTATTCTTTTCAAGCCTTAGAACCTGCATACTTGGAACACGCATTAGATAACACCATTGTTCTTTTAATACTTTATTATCATCAAAACCTAAGAGATATATATCATGAACAAATCTTGTTCTATCACCTACCTGTAGCATTTATGAGTTGATGCATGTTGAATGAAAAATCTTATGCACCAAACTGTAGCATCTATGAGTTGGTGTATGCTGAATGAAAAATCTTATGCACCAACTTGTAACATCTATGAGTTGGTGTATGCTGAATGAAAAATCTTATGCACCAACTTGTAGCATCTATGAGTTGGCGCCTGCTGAATAAAAAATCTTATGCACCAACCTGTAGCATCCATGAGTTGATGCATGTTGAATTAAAAATCTTATGCACCAACTAGAAACTATGAGTTGATGTATGAAAATAATTTCCCTCATTATTTGTGCAGTATGAGTTGACCTGTAGCATTTATGAGTTGATGCATAAAATTCATTTTGGTCCAAAAACTTGTTTTTGACTTAGTAAATGACTCTAAACAAATAAGGATGATTATGCATTCCTAATCATGAAAATGCACACCTAGGTTAAGAGGATACCGCCCGATGTACATAAATACTAAGTGTCATAGTTTTGACATCAATCAAAACATACTACTAGAAGGGAAATGCACTCATACCTTCTATCAGGTAAACCATGGTTAAGAACTCCACATTTTACATTAACCTTCCATCCAGACCCGTCTTTCGTCGGATTCGATCTAATTTTAAATGGACATCCATATTTTTTTTGTCGCACTTTGTGTTCCACTATTAGTATTCTAGTATTTCTCACCTTTATCACAATCAAATATTAATTTGTTACTTCTCTCTCTTGCTTGTTTCAGTATTTGAACGAGTGATAATAACAATTACTTTATTTCATATTTCAACCTCTTTATTCCACCTTATCATTTCTTCTCGTGTACTAAATCTTTGAGTAGTTGAAAAAATATCAGAAGTATCTACACATATTTAATTTTATCGCATATTTGTGGAGGAATTTCCATACATACAACATAAAAAAATTGCAAGAAAAAATTTAACAAAGCAAACCAGACATCTTGATAAAAGAGTTTCGGTACACAAAATACATAAATCAGATATCTTATCTACAAGTGTTTCGAAAGTCTCAAATAAATAGTAAAAAGTAAAATGATAAATTAATTAAAAATATGCAATAATAAAATTGACATTTTTAAAAAATTGTAAGAGTATGACTATAAATATAGGAATATGAGATAAAATTTTTCAAATACTCATATCCTTAATTAACTCATTAGATAAAGCTTATCCTTAACATATTTTAAAAAAACGATTTATTAACAAAAATATTTAATTACACATTTGAATCTTACAAATATATTACCTTTTGATTTTAGTTTTTCTTAAAAAATGTAATCTTGGTCTTGGCATATCTATATCATTTTGCTTTTGGTCTTTTTTTTTGTTGTTTTAATTATTATTAAACTAATTTTATTGAACATATCCATATAAATGTAAAATAATTTAATTTAATTTTTGTCTCTTCAAATTTAATACCATGAATACTAAAGTAAATAAAACCAAAACCAAAATCCATGACATGCCTAACATATTTTTATCATCATCATGTATGTATGATGTATGAAGATGACAATTATTCACCAAAAGATGACAAGTGACATACTTTATTCCTTTTAATATAAAAAAAAGATGACATATTTGAACGGGTAATTATAGAAAATAATAAAAAAATTGGATCGAATTTTTTATTTTTTTCTATTTTTTATTTATTTATTTTTAATTAATTAATTTTTTCACTTTGATACGTTCATCATCATATTATTCATTTCATGGTCACATTCACAACTCAAAGACATCAAATTGGGACGTTCTTCTCAGGAAGGTCCAAAAAGTCAGTGCTGCGAAAACCGACGATCCGAACAATACCCTTTTCATCTCTCTTCTTAATCATCATCATCATCTCAACAATCTTCTTCTTCTTAATCTTCATCAGTAATTTAGTAAGATAAACCTCTTTCTCTTTCATCAATTTTTGTTTTTTTTTTCATTTCTCTGTGGGGTTTTAAAGTAGTTTTCTTGTACCTTAAAATCTTTTTGTTAGTTTGATCTTATGTCATTGGATTTTTTTTAGATGTAAACTATGTTTTTTTCTATGTTCGTGTTTGTGTTTTTTATGTTGTGTCTGTTGAAGTTTTCTGGGTTTTTTTTTTTTTTTTTGTTGATGTGCTTACTGGTTTGTTAACAATTTTTAGATACTGATTTGAAGGAAAATCTGATATCGGAGAATAAAGGTAGAAACTTTTTACCTCAACACCAGTGATTATGGCTGTTGCTGATAATGTTAGTGCCAATTTGGACAACAACACCAACACCAACAACGTTGTATCATCTGACTCAACTGAGGTGGAGAAATCGAAACCTAGGAGCGATCAGGATGTGACCATCAACAACAACGGTGTGTTCAACCATCAACTTTCGAATGGTGGTAATTATAGCTTCAAGGCTCATCAGTTGGGTCAGATGCATGCTAACGGGGTTCAGAATCAGCAGTTTGTGATGAACAATGATGGGTATGTGATGAACGGTGAGAACGAGGGCGAGAGTTTCAAGCGTGAAATGAGGGATTTGGAAGAATTGTTGTCGAAGCTGAATCCCATGGCGGAGGAATTTGTGCCACCATCGCTAGCGAATAATCATGGATACTTAGCTGGACCTGCTGCTGGGTTTGGTTACCCTAACAATTATATACTGCTCAATAATTATGCTAATGCTAACGGCCAAACTAACCGAAGGGTATGAATATATTTGTTTCGATCTATTTCATTATTTTCTTGTTGGTTTCTGATGCGATGTTTTCACTTTTCTTAATACAATCCTGTGTTTTTTTTTCAGAGGAAGACTGGCTATAGTACTAATGGAAAGCGAAGAGTGAATCATAAAGTAGATATGGAGAAACGAGAAGAGATGATTAGGAGGACTGTTTATGTGTCTGACATTGATCAACAGGTAAGAGTTTGAACCGTCTTGTAGATTCTCTCATTTAAGTTAATGTTCAATGTTTACCATGCGTGTTCTTTTTAATGATTATTGTTTTATGTTGGAATCTAGGTAACTGAAGAGCAGCTGGCATCTCTCTTCCTTAATTGCGGCCAGGTAGTAACCGATATGTTTTGTTTATGATTGGTTTTTTCTTTTTCTTAAGAGAGCTATTATATTGTATAAAGAATCACATGAAGACTAACCGTGATGAATCTATTTTGAAAGGATTCGTCAGATTCTTTTTTCTGTTACATTGTCATTTGAACTATTTAGGGTTTTCTCTTTCTTAATGATGGTTTACCATGTTACCGAATCAATCAACTCCTCTTTCCTGGCTGTAGGTTGTTGACTGCCGTGTATGCGGAGATCCCAATTCTATTCTCCGTTTTGCCTTCATTGAGTTTACCGATGAAGGTAGCACCACTGCTAAATATGTGTTTTTCATTTGCTGCATGTATTATTGACGTTTTACTGTATTAACCGATTGTGTTATGCCTGCAGAAAGTGCAAGGGCTGCTGTAAGCCTTTCTGGAACTATGCTGGGATATTACCCGTTGAGAGTGCTGCCTTCCAAAACTGCCATTGCACCTGTCAATCCGACATTTTTGCCCAGGGTAATGCTTTTTTTTTTTTTTTTTTTTCCGATATTCTTACTACATGCTCTAGAAAATGAATGACCGGAATCTGGAACGAATATGATTTATCTCGTTGTGTTCTTACATTTGTCATGGTGCTGTGTTTCAGTCTGAAGATGAAAGGGAGATGTGCTCTAGAACAATTTACTGCACAAACATCGACAAAAAGGTAGTTTAGGATTTTTACATTTCCATTAAATCTTGCTTGGAGGAACTAGTTGATAATTTTCCATATATCTGGTTTGTAGCAATGAAGGGTCATAATTCTTAATAAGTTATTTTCTTGTTATACTTGCAGCTGACTCAAGCAGATGTGAAACACTTCTTTGAATCTATCTGTGGAGAGGTTTGTAGTTTTTTTTTGTGTGGAATTAGGCTTATAATGCTTATTGATGTTTGAATTTTTAGTATCTAGTGAAATATTTTAATAAAATTGGTGTGTTTCATGGTTTCAATTTCAATCCTCGAATTTTTTGTTGAGGCAAAGTTGCGGTTGCTTGAGTTTTTTGTTAATTGAATTTAAGTATCGTGTAAAAATGCTTTTCATTGTTTTGGTGTATTATCTTAGGTTCAACGACTGAGGCTTCTTGGGGATTACCATCATTCAACTCGGATTGCATTTGTTGAATTCACAGTGGTAATTACTACTCACGAGCTTTACAATCTTCTTATCTTTGTTTGAGCAACTCTGGTTTGCTTAGCTAATTTAATTTAAACATCTTCTATTGCTTTCCGAAGTTATAGCCCTCAAATTGAGTGCTACTGCTTGGTTTGTACTTTGAGTTATCATTTGCATTAATGCTGTCACCCTTCCCTCCCCAAAACAACTTCATTCTGTTTGTTCTTCTGTCAGTAATCGTGTTTCTTCGTAATCGTAACTCCACATTGCCTGCTAGAATAGCCCTGAAAAATAATCAAGCGTAAAGTGAAATTTATGATGTTAGCTTTATGAGCCCATATATAAAGCCAGTTTCAACGAATTTTCGTAAGCTTCTTAGAATAGCTTATATAAACAACTTATTACGAGCTTATATGAAGTTTTCTGTTACTCAGTCTTTGATTGCAGAAACTGCTTAAATAGAAGCACATATCATATATGTTAGCACGAGCAGTTATCTCAATATTTCTTTTCACTACTGTTTGTTTTCCCGCCCATCGTTTCTTTGTTGGCTAGCTGTCTGAAGATTTTCTTTGCTTCATTCTTTCAGGCTGACAGTGCAATTGCCGCCCTAAGCTGCAGTGGCGTGATTTTGGGTGCTCTGCCTATAAGGTTAGCTTGATTTATCTTTGATTTCAACTGCTCTTAAAACTCAGGTAACTCTTATAATGCCATCTCAACCACTCTTGTGTCTGGTATGCAGGGTGAGCCCGTCGAAGACACCAGTCCGCGCCCGTTCTCCTCGTAGTCCATGAACTGAACCACTCGTCATTGCTGCTGGAGTTCGACTGCTGCTACATATATATACGTACATAGAAACATATATGTTCCAAAGAACCTGTGGCGTTTAGTTGAAACTTTTGTCCTTGTGTTTTGCACTATGGTATCTTTGTTTCCCGTTGCAGTAATTGGTTCTTCGTTTTAGCTTGTAGAGTCGATGGTACTTCGAGGATCTTGTTTAATTTATGTTGCTCAATGTGACATGCTGTTGAACTTGCATTTCCAGAATTTTATGGCTGGATGTTGTTATCTGCAGTTTTATTTTGAAGAAACATGTTTCCAAATCCTTTTTTAGTCATGATCTGTGTTTATCTGCATATGATTGAATGAGTTTTTGCAAATTTTGTGTTACAATTCTGGCTCTTTACTCTAAAGGTGTTTTCTTTTCATTTTTCTTGTGTGTTTTGTTGCAAGTTTTGATATGAAAATGTGGTTATTTTCTCTCAAACGTGTTTGACCAAAATAAGTAAAGAAGAATTTGGCATTACTTGCCATGATTCATATTTAGAGTGCCTTAAATTAAACACTTTAAATCTAAGGCTGTGGTAAATTCTCTCTCAAACTTGTTTGCACAAAATAAGTAAAGAAGAATTTGGCATTACATGCCACGGATGATAATACTTTTACATTCTATTTGACAATATCAAATCTTTTATTATTATTATTATTATTATTATTATTATTATTATTATTATTATTATTATTATTATTATTATTATTATTATTATTATTATTATTATTATTATTATTATTATTATTATTATTATTATTATTATTATTATTATTATTATTATTATTATTATTATTATTATTATTATTATTATTATTATTATTATTATTATTATTATTATTATTATTATTATTATTATTATTATTATTATTATTATTATTATTATTATTATTATTATTATTATTATTATTATTATTATTATTATTATTATTATTATTATTATTATTATTATTATTATTATTATTATTATTATTATTATTATTATTATTATTATATTTTTTACAATGCGAGTTTATATTTATAATTTATTATTTTCTTCGTGTATTTTTATTAGTTTATAGTGTATTTTTATAAAATGTTATAAGTAGCATTTGATTTATATTTTATTATTTTTTGGTTAAATTTATTTTAATTATATTTTATTAAAAATATAATACTAATTAAAAATATTTTTTGTTTTTTATGTTCATCAAGTTAGTTTAATAATTTAATTTTTGTAAGGCAATCTGCAAAGAAGTTTAAGTAATGAATGAAAAATACAAAATAAAAAAAAAAAAAGACAAGAACCTAACTCACCAACCGGTCAACAAAAATAAAAATTAGTTAAACCAGTTTTATCTCTAATAAAGTCACCCTTCACATAAGTAGGAATAAAGTCTTACCACCTCTCATCTTGAATATCATTTTGATTGTAAAAACTTAAGTTAGCTAAGTATAACAATTTTTTTTACAAAATGTATGAGACACTTTAAAACGGAAAGATTTAATAGGATGTAGATAATTTTTTTTAATGCAAAATATAATATAGTAAAAAGAAGTCCAGATACATCAATAACACCAACACTCACAAGAAGGGTTTTGAAAAAGAAAAATATGATACAAGTTAGAAAAAGTAGGAAAAACTAAAAAGATATCGATCAAAAGCACAAAAAAACAACTACTAAAAAAATTATTTTGGTATTCACAAACTAGAGCTTGAATTAACTAAATCCACCATCAACCTATCAGATTCTAGTAAGAGGACCGAAGGTCTACCGCCACATTCTTAAATAGAACAAATCTTCGATTTGCTATAGGTGTAGGTGGGTGATAGGATTCTAAAGTCAATTCGTGAAGGTGCAAGGGTTCTCCTATGTCCTACCCAGTAACCATTTAAAAGCTAAGCAAATGCTCTACTCCTTCACTTCTTTCACTGTTATTGTGACTCCATTAAAGATTACATCATTGCGGGCTTTCCAAATAGACCAAATAACCGCATACCACATCATAAGGTAACCACCCCTATCCTCAACCATGTCTCCTAAAGAAAGAAAAGACTGAAAAAGAACCCTAAGATCTCGAGGAATAAATATCTGCCTCCCCAACCTCTTAAAAACTTTATACAACACCGAGGAAGCTATCTCACAAGTAACAAAAATGTGAGAATCTAACTCAACTGGATACCTACAAAAGGGATAAACAAGCCTACTAGTATCAGATATCACCTCTCTCCCAAACATGTTGACTCTATAGGGAAATCTATCCTGCAAAACCCGCCACGAAAAGACCAAGATCTTGGACGAGGCTCAACTGCGCCAAGTAAGGGAAATGATATGACTTTGAAGCGAATGAGGGGCCATATATGTAGACAAACTTTCCATTTGGACAAGATAAGCGGAGGCCAGTGGAAAAGAATTGTCTAAAGAGTGCTTCCAAATCCACTTATCTCTGTCCAGGGTAAGGATAACATCTCTAAGTAAGGCTCGAGACTCCTAAAAAACGAGAATCTCTTTAAGGAATAAGGACCTCCTCCATCTAAGGTCCCAAGTCACGATCCCATTAATAATCACTCATATCTCGCCCATCAACCATTTTTGTTGGAGAGAATTAGAGAAAAGACTAGGAAACTTAGTTTTAAGAGTTGTGTTACCTACCCAAGGATCATCCTAAAAGGAAGTGTGATAACCCGAACCCTCTTTCCTAGTAATGTATTCGGAAAACTATTCTGATCTATAATTCTCTTTTGTCCGAAGAAGAGATATCTCTTTTCACCAGCACGAAGAAGAATGGAAACCCATATCCCTACCTCTCCTAGGAGATGAGATAGAGATACCACTATATCTAGCTACTAAAATGTCCCTCTAGAGCTCTAAATTCCCAACAGGTAACCTCCATCTCCACTTTGCCAAGAGAGCCAAATTGATCAACCGGAGATCCCTCACCCATAATCCCCCTATTCTCTTAGGTTTACACACATCATCCAAATTCTCTTATGGTATCTTATTTTATTCTTCATACCCCTAAAAGGAAACTCCTTTAGTAAAGACATTATCTTCTTCCAAAGCATAACAAATATCTTCATAAAGGACAAGAAGAAAATAGGAATATCATTAAGCACCGAATAAAGGAGAACAATTCTACCCCGCAATCTAACATATCCATGCTTCCAAGAATTGAGTATTTTTTCCAACAAAACAACCAAAGGCTCCCAAATAAACTCAAGACAAGGGTTGGACCCAATAGGCAGGCCAGGATACTTAAAAGGAAGAAATGCTATCTCACAATGGAGAAATTCCCCAACTGAATTAAGAAAGATATGATCAACATTAACCCCCATTTTTAGACTAATCTTGAAGAAGTTAACACGAAGACCAGAAACGCTCTAAAACCCCCTAAGAATAGCCTTAATACACTACAAATTTTCTATAGATAGTTCAACCACCAAATGAGTGCCATCAACATATTGTAGGTGAGACATTACCAACTCAGAATTACCAACTCTAAACTCATAATAGAGACCTATCTCCTTATCCCTCACAACCAGACCACTCTGCCACTAAAAGAACAACTAAATGAGATAGGGTATTTGCTTGTTTCAAGCCCCTTTGAATTCTTATTTCTTGGGTAGGACACCCATTAACTAGAACCACAAGGTTACCAACAAAGGAAAAAGCTTTCATCCAAGATTTTCATTTCTCACTAAACCTGAATCTGACCAGCATATAATCTAGGAAATTCCAACTAACTAAATCATATGTTTTCTTAAAATCCACATTAAAAAGAAGGCAAGGTGATTTAGAACTCTTGGTCAAGTCAACCACCTCATTTATAGCCACAACTCCATCCACCAACATTCTACCCTTAAGAAAAGTCGATTAGTTAGAAGAGACAAGCTTTTCCATCACAACCCCTAGTCTAATGACCAATGTTAAGGAAAATGTTAACACTCATAAATGCTCAAGTGGTTAGGAGATAATCACTTTCAAGTCCAAGTTGCTTCAAATCTCTTATAGGAACACGATCCAATAGAACAATACGTGTAAATTCAACCTGAAAATAAGTAGGAATGCCTATGTTTACTAAGGAAGTTGTTAATTACATGTTTAATGAATCACGAAAAAATACCTCAACAAGTAGATATGTCAAAGTTCCTTATAAAAGCTCTATACGTGTTACATTTAATCCAACCAGGATGAGGATGTACTCAATTAATTCCATTAATGCAAGGTGCAAGAGGGGGCGACACTATATCAAAATTATTTACAATGACGAGTTCCTTCATAGAGGAGTATATATGCTCTTTGAGAGAGGTGGTTGCAAAATTATTTTAGGAAGCTCGTGATACAAGGAATGATAAAGGGACTGAAAATTTTGAAAGGCCAATAGATGATAACCTATTGGTGACATGAACTGATGTAGTAAAGCTATGTTCCCAAAATTGAAAAGGCATAGGAGCATGAGATAATAGTGTAAAACCTATTTCTACAATGCACATATGCTTCCTTTTCACTGTTCCATTTTAGTGAGAGGTGTGTGGACAAGTAAGCATGTGTGAGATATCTAAATCAGTTAGATACTTGGTGAATGGCTTAAATTCTCACCCATAATTTGATTGTAAGTCGTTAATTTTGGTTTGAAACTGAGTTTGGACAAAAATCAGAAATAATTTGAAAGCATAAAGTGCCTCATACTTGTGCTTCAAGAAGTAAATTCAAGTGTATTTTGTATATACATCAACAAAGACAATGTAGTAAAGAAAACCAAAACTAGATTCGGGAGGAAGAAAATGGTCTCGCAACCAAAATCATGTTTGGAAGTCGATTATGCAAGGGGAAGGTATTAACACGCCTCACATCTATTGTACTCAATGGGAACCATCTAGGTTGTCTATGCGCGAATGAATGTTGTTATCTAAAGGTTTACTTGCTGTTAGGGAAAAAGGTTTCCTTTTATTAATGCGCTCACTAAGATCTTGCAATCTCGTGC